GGTATGTCACCAAAAGGTTGGAAGTTACTTCACTGAACCATGAATTTCTGTAAAGATAAATTACACTGACTGAGCCATATTGATGTGAGTGGCCTGTGCCTCCACCTGAGGCCATGGTGATGTCTGGGTCCATGGTCCCACTGCAGCCAGAGTCTGTGTTACCACTGAAGGCCATGTGGATGTTCATGATCTGTGCTGCAGCCTGAAACTATGATGGGCTGTGCTTGTGCCAAGGGCTATGTTGATGTATGGGCATGCACTGCCACCTGAGGCCATGTTGATGTCCTTGGACTGTGCTGCTACTGAGAGCTATGATGGTGTCCATGGCCCATCCTGTGGCAGAGGGCCATGCTGACATCCATGGTCTGTACTGTCACTGGAGACCATGCTGAGATCAGTGGCCCATACTGACGCTGGAGGCCATATGGATGTCCAGTGATCTGTGCCGTCACCAGAAACTATGTGTAAGCCTGTGAACCATGCTCCCACTGACTGAGTAAGGGCAAGGGAGATACTTTTGCCATGGTACTGATAATTGCAAACTCACACTTGAGAAAGAGGGACATAGATGGTTTCTGTGACAACCCCTACCTCCACCCTACCCCACCCCTGCAAAAAGTAACTACCTAAGCAGAAAGTCATCAAAGAGAACTCTTTAAACTTGTGATAAGGCCACTGAAGTAGTAGCTCTCCACATTGATGGCTTCTGCAGGGTGGTGGGAGTGGGGGGAAGGACTCTGTTTTCTTTAAGGGGCCAGGCCACCGGGAGTTTAACCATGCTCCAGTGAGTATATGGCAACACAAATCGGACTTGTTTTTTGTTTGTTTTTCTTTTTCTTCTTTTTGGGGAGAGGGAGGGTCTCAAGGATGGGGGTGGGTGGACCTGAGAGAACTGGGAAGTGAGTGTGCTGGGGGTTCATGATGTGAAATTCCCAAATAATCAATAAATAATGTTATTTTTAAAAATTACACTGACCAGGACTGGAGAGATGGCTCAGAGGTTAAGAGCATTGGCTACTCTTCCACCGGTCCTGAGTTCAGTTCCCAGCAACCACATGGTGGCTCACAACCATCTGTAATGACATCTGGCTCCTTCTTCTGACCTGCAGGCAGAACAATGTATACAAAATAAATAAATAAATAAATAAATAAATAAATAAATAAGTAAATCTTCTTTTAAAAAAATTACACTGACCAAAATTCACACATCTGATTCAGGGCTACATTGTGATGAAGACCAGAATGTGTGCTATCGTATAGCAACCATGCTCACAACGGCTGTCAAACTATGTGCTTGCAAGAACTTGTTATTCATCCTGGAACAAATTTCCGCCTCAGCTGTAATAACCAAAAACTGAGATTTCCTCCTCCTCCTCTTCCAACACTGCTCCTTTCCTGTCAGGCCTGGGAAGTGTCCTCCTTTGGGATGACAGTCAATCAACAGTGGCACATTAAGTGCCCAGCCGTCATCACGAAGTTCCTCTGCCTATGTAAAAAATGTAGCTGAAATTTGCATGGATACCCCCTTTCACTATATGTTACTGGGAAGACCTTCAGCTTGCTGTGTCCAACAGTAATGCTAATTGACTAAATTTTAAAATGACTTAGGGAGTGTAAAGCAATAGAAATAGGGAATTCAAACTAAAGGAGCTGATGGAAAAGGAAAACTTTCAAGAAATACTGCTGGTCCTGCCTTAGTTGGCAGCTGAAGGAAACAGTTCAGTTTTTGAACTTGAAGTTAAATACTTCATTCTTTTCGCTTTGCCTGTTTTTACTAATTGTCTGTGCTTCCCGGAGGATTTAGCTTAATTAATCCAGGGTTAAAGCAAAGATCCACAAATTGAGGTTTAATTTAAGAACATGCTTTTTATAGTCTGATGTTTCCAGCATAATGAATTCCCTGTGTAATTAAAAGTTTGATTAAAGTGGGACCTAAAAATACTACAATAAAAGCTTTCTAGATACATCTGTGTACATATTCCAAGGCTTACTCTGAAATCCTTGCAGCTTAAATGTAGTTTAAAAGTCGCTGTAAGCATTGCTAAGGCAAATAAAAATGTTTATAGTTTCATGGAAGAAATAAAAGTAGACTCCTCCTGAGAATTGCTGTGAGGGTGTGTGTGGGGTGTCTGCCAACCTGTGATGATCAGGCACTTGTCTGCCGCAAGAGGGCAGTGGAGTCAATGATAACATCCCAATGGCTGCAGGAGGCTTCCTTGGAGGACTCAGGGGCCCCTGTAAATACATCCATCTCTGGAAACGACAGGCAAACAGGAACACCGCCTAGCCAGGTTCAGAGCTTTTGTCTCTGGTAACAATGAGGCAGGAAATAAGCAGCAGGGGCTTGTGAAAGGGAATGACCTCTCTCTCAACCCACCTGTCCTTGAATCACCATGGAGATGGTGACTGGTTTAAGGATGGTTGTGGATAGGGTTCTGCACATTGGGATGTTCACCCATTGATGGAACTGAGCCCTTGTCAAGGATTTGGGAAACACAGAACCAAGCTATGGGGAGCTGTTTATCTCAGAAAATTAGCTGGGATAGGTACTAGGAGTGTCCTGAGATGAACTTTGCTTTTATTTAATTTAGATTCATAACACTGGAACATTAAGATAATCAGAGTAATCTTTGGAAATCTGTAATATATCTTTGTAAAGTTTCCAGGAAGCTAATTAGCACAAAGAGGGATCAATGGTAACAAATGTGTCCTGGGAGTTTTAAGTTGGTATTTTTATTGGTCTAGAATTACCCATAAAGTGAGATGAATCAGGTATTTCTAATGTGTTCTCATGACTAGCATCCGTTCTCGTTTTTTATTCATAATTGTCACTAATATTATTGAGCTGTAATCTGGAAAAACTTTTAGGACTTGAAATAAAGAAATTAAATTATGCTTTAATTTAATGTTGTTTCAATTCAACATTTATTGAACACTTACAATTGAATGAGGAAAAACAGTGCTTGTGTGTTGGGGGGGTGTATGAAAAGAGAACATTAGAAAATTAATTGCATCCACATGTTTTAAAGTCAGCTTCAAATAAAAATGAAGACTTGTGAATGTTTCCTCATCTCATGGGCCTTACCTGTTATATACTGCACCTCAGCTTGTGTAGGTGCTTTCAAAACCTCGATAAAGCCAAGCCTAATTCAGGGAAACTTGCTCCTTGTGTTGGCAGAAGACAAGGAAATGAAATATGTTCTGGGGTCTGTGGGAAAGATGGCTCAGTGAGTAAAGGTTCCTGTTACCAAGCCTGGCAACCTAGGTTTGATCCCTGGGTCACACATGTTGGAAGGCGAGAACTCCTGCAAGTTTGTCCTCTGGTCTACACATACATGCTATGGCACATATGTGCAGGCCGGTGTGTGTACACACACACATCAGTGAAACAATGTAATAAAAATGTCTGTTTTAAAACTCTAATAGATAATTGAGATTATGGTTAAGATACTCTCGAGAGTATCTTAACTTGAGGCTCACACAGTTTTATGTGTGTATATAATGATTTGTTCAGCTCAAACCAGCAGATCTTTATCTGGGCCCACACTGAGTTAGACTAGGAACAACAATGATGAATTAAACTCAACCTGTGGAGAGAGGCACTGGAAAGAGGCGGATTCTTGTGTATATTTTCTCATTTACCCTCATGATAATCCTAAAGTATTGTTACTATTTTACAAAAAGATAGACAGGAGCGGAGCAAGTAAATATGGTTAGGTCACAAAATTAATTGGAAGAGAGCCAAAATCAGAACTCAGACCTGTTCAACTCTAAGGTATTCTTTCCATTGGACCATTCTATCTAAATATTAGTCATTGGCTCCTGGGAATCTTTAGGAATGGCAGCGAACAGTTTTCAATAGTGGACAGTAACTACATATCTTGAAACAAAATTTAATTAAAGAGTATTTCAAATATAGTATAAATAAGAAGCACTGTGTATTCATTATGAAATAATATCTTATACCCAACCTTAAAATGCCTTGTTTGAGTTAGGTTCATTTTACTTTAATTCACAATGCTGGGAAGTGACCTAGGGCTTTGTATGTGCTAGGCAGGTGCTCTACCACTTAGCTACATCCTCAGCCCTTTTCATTTTTCGGTTTACAAAGGGTCTCACTAGTTGCTCAGGCTGGCTCAAAATCATTATCTAGCCTAGACCAACCTCAAACTAGCAATCTTCCTGCTTCAGCCTGCCTGGAAGGTGGGATTACAGGGATATCACCACGCCCATTCCAGTCTGATGTTGTTTTTTTTTTTTTTAAAAAAATACTTTATTTAACTTTATTTTATATGTATTGGCATTCCCTGGAACTGGAGTTACAGACAGTTGTGAGCTGCCATGTGGGTGCTGGGAATTGAACCAAGGTCCTCTGGAAGAACAGCCGGTGCTGTTAACCACTGGGCTATCTCTCCAGCCCCCAGTCTGATGTTTTTAAAGATATGAATAAGAACAGTCAAAACCTTCCAACTCTTCTGGTCCCATTCTCTTTTCTCATAATGCGATCATGAATTTGGTGCTTATTTCATGCCTGATTCATTCCTTTTACTATATCTTTTTTGTTTTTGTTTGTTTTTTGGTTTTTCCAGACAGGGTTTCTCTGTGTAGCTCTGGCCATTCTGGAACTCTCTTTGTAGACCCAGGTGGCCTTGAACTCAGAGAATTGCCTGCCTTTGCCTCCTGGGGGCTGGGATTAAAGGCATGCACCACCACCGCCTGGCTTCTTTTTACTATATCTTTATGAATTTGTAAACCCCACAGGTTTTTAAAGTTTTAAGAGTTATACCCAAATACATATGAAATTCCACACATTTCATTGTGTGTGTGGGGGGGTGTGCAGAATTCTTTCAGGGTTAACTATCTCTGATGAATATATAAACAAGATACTGCTATGATTTTGATTCACAACATAGCTAATAAATTTTAATCATACTTTAATTTGTTTCTTAATAATTAAAGTACAATATTATCTATTCTAACCTTTCTTTTTCTTGATGCAGATCATTCTCGAATTGAAGTATGGAAATTTGGCAACCTTGTCATTGAACTTCTGTACCACTGGTTACACATTTGTTTAACTCTCATAGACCTAAACAAACAACAAAGGAATAGTATTTTACCTCCATTGCCCAAGAAGAGTGATTCCTCTATTTATGCAAAAGTCATAGAGAAACCAAAGAAAAAATAAGGACTAGTACTCTGTTTAGCATATGTTGATTGTGCCCAATGCTGTTAATAGTGAAATATTTTCAAATGAAAAGGAATGCCTCATAGACACACCGAAAGAGCTACCTAAGGAGAAACTTAAAGTGTATGCGGTTATGGTGGCCATAGCCAAACGTTCCTGAATGTGTAATAAAACGTATTTGAAACCTCCCTTTTAGTTTGAGCTTTCTATATGACCTGAGACTACTATGGCTGTTTGGGAAGATGCGTCTCATTCTTTTAAAAAGAAAAGGAATACTGGAGGGCCTGGGTGGAGAAATGGCAGCTTTTACATCAGAAGAGTACCAAACAATAAAGATTTTAAGAAGTGGACTTGTGACTGTTTTTAGAATTTTTCAGACTATCCATCCCTTCTTCCATCTCTCCTTCCCTTAAGAATCTAGAAGTCACCTTTATATTTCTATATTTCTGAGGCTAGTCTGGAGCTGGATATGTAGCCCAGGCTGGCTTTGAACTCCTGATCCTCTTGCTGCAGCATCCTGAGTGCTGTGAGTTTAAGCACGTGCCCTGCCACAGATACCATTCTAAGGAACAGAAATCTTTGTGGGAAAATATTTTCCCATGGCTCACAGAATAAAGAAAACATCAATTTTTAATAACAAAACTTCTCAAGTCCTATAACTACAAAAAAAGTTATATTCGTTCAAAGCTTGTTATATTACAGCAAACTTTATTGGCATGTTGTGAGATTTCATCTTTGCAATAAGAGATCTAATGACAAAGTCCATTTTTAATAAAATTTGGGAAATTAAACTTTATTTTCTTTTTTAGGCAGACAGATTGTGATGTGTCTTGAGTGTCTCCTAAGTGGAGATGAAAGCCCTTTACCCCTTCCTGATTAGAGGACAGTGTCTTACCAGCTCTCTTGCCTCAGATGAGTTGGTGACCAGTGTTACCTCTCTTGGCCACTTTGTATTTGAAGGGAGGCATTTTCAGGCATTTGCACCCACATTTCTAGCAACAGTGTTCTTGAAGATATTAAACTGATAGTCATATCTCCAGGAGCTTCAGAATAAACTTGTGAATACAGATGATGGTGCGGGCAGCTAGAAAGGACAGAGTCAGAGCGGCTGTTTTTACTGTAGTTATGGGAATTACATTTACTATGACTTAGGGTAATAGATAGTTTATATTTTCACTTTTCTTCTTTTTATATTTTATTTATATTTTATGTTTATGAGTGTTTTCGTGAATGAATGTCTGTTCATCTGTGTATGTAGTGCCTGAGATGGCCAGGAGAGGGCGTCATACCCTCTGGGACTGGAGTCACAACCAAATGTGAGCGGGCCATGTGGGTGCTAGGAATAGAACTCTTCCCCTGGATAAGCAGCCAGTGTTCTCAACTGCTGAATGCTCTCTCTCCAGCTCCCACGTTTTATTTTATAATTAAAAACAAAAATTAGACAGAGTCTCTTTATATAAGCAAGCTGGCCTGGAACTTGCTATGTAGAGTAGAATGGACTCAAATTCATAGAGACCGGTCTGCCTCTGCCTCTAGAGTACTGCAATTAAAGGCATGTGTCACCATCCCCAGCTGTTATTTTTTAGATAGGGTCACACATAGTATAGGTTGGCCTAGAACTCATAAGGCAGCTGAAGATGACCTTGAACTCCTGAATCTTCTGCCTCTACTTCTTGAACGCTGAGGTTACAGGTGCACATTCATCACCCTGCCTGGTTTGTGGAGAGCTGGGTATTGAACCTAGAGTTTTGTGCATGCTAGGTGAGCACTTTACCAACTAAGCTACATTCCCAAACCCTTTCATGACATTTGACATGTTTGGAGCATGTTTGCATACTAGCTCACATGATTCTCCCAGTAAAGTTGGTGATTCTGATACTATCGCCACTTTATAAATGAGGGAAAAGGCTTAAAGAATGAGTGAGCCGTCAGTTTGCAAGGTGGGCAGTTCGCTAATGAAACTCTGCAACAGACACATCTCAGTTGGGTTTGCTAAAAGTATAAAAACAACACACCTTTGGGCTGGGGGGATCCACTTTAATTTGTATGCTTGTGTGTCTCTGTGAGTACGAGCTTACTGTGTGACGGTGTGGGTGGGAGCCAGTAGAGGCCAGAAGAGGGCACCAAATTCCCTGGAGCTGGAGTTAAAGGCAGTTGTGAACCACCTGATGCTAGAGCTGGGAATGGAACTTATGGGATACTGCAAAAAGCCTGGGTGAAATGAGGCCAGCTGCAATAAACACCATACGAACAGAAAGTGGTTAAAGTAAAGGAGAAATCTGAAAGGAATATAGCTGCATGTCACCCTAAGGGTAAAAGTGACACGGGGGGAAAAAGGGGTCCTGACAGGTCAACAGGCTTGAAGGTGAAGAAACAGGGGCTGGAGAAATGGCTCAGAGGTCACTAGCACATGTTGCTCACGCAGAGGACCATGGTTCAGTTCCCAGCACCCACCTGGTGGTGGCTCACAACCATCAATGACTCCGGTTCCAGGGGCTCTGACACCTTGTTCTGACATCTACAGATGTCTGTAGGCACGTGATGCACAGACATGCATGCAGTCAAAACACTCATACACGTAATAAAGTAAATCTTGAAAAAGTATTCTAAAGAAGAGCAGACTAAAAGAGGAAGGCAATGAATAAGTGTGTGTGTGTGTGTGTGTGTGTGTGTGTGTGTGTGTGTGTGTGTGTTGCTAGGAATATGAAATTCAAGTGTATCTGGACATTACCTTTAGTGTAAAAATGTACAGACTTTTTTTTTTCTTTGGTTGATGAGAGTTGTTTTTCTTTAATATGTGCTGTGTCTGTATGTGCCCTGTGTGCAGATGGCCATGGGAGCCCAGTAGGAGCCAGAAGAGGGCATCAAATGCCCTGGAGCTGGGGTTTAAAAAAGCTGTGAGCCACTTCACAGGAGCTGGGAACAGAACTCATTTCCTATGCTTTTAAGCTCTGAGTCATCTCTCCAGCCCATTGACAAGACTTGTAAATAAAATGCTTTTCTAAAATGCAGGCTGTAGCCAGGTTAAGTGGTATACTTCTCTAATGCCAGAACTTGGGAGACAGAGGCAGGAAAATCTCTGAGTTTGAGGCCAGCTTGGCCTACAGAGCAAGTTCCAAGACAGCCAGGTCTACATAGAGAAACCCCATCTGGGAAATGAAAAAAGTAGGTTGTGGCTTTTAAAAAAAAAAAAAAATTAGTACTGATTTTTCAAACTTTTGATGTTGAGTGCTGCTAAATATTTGTTTCTTTAATTTCTTGTGAATAGGGGTCTCAAAATAAAAAAAATTTAAGAACTAGAGATATAGCTCAGAGCTAGCGTGTATTAATCCCTAGGTTCAATTTCTAGTACTAAAAATAAATAAATAAATAAATAAATAAATAAATAACAAAACACATTGGTACCTTAATCTAGCACAATAAATTAAAAGTTTGATTAAACTATATCCTACCAAAATGCCTTGATAAAACTTTCTAAAATATTTACTTATTATTTATTTAATGTGCACAAATGTTTTGCTTGCATGTATGTCTGTGCACCATGTGGGTATCTGGTGCCAAGGAGGCCAGGAGAGAGTGTCAGATTCCCTGATACTGGTATTAACAACTGTGATGGCTATTCTTGGTTATCAATGTGACTATATCTGGAATGAACTACAATCCAGAAATGGAGGGCACACTTACAATCCTATATCTTGAGGCAGGAAGACACAGACCTTTGATCCCGATCTTAAGGTGGGAAGACACACATTTAATCTGGCCCACAACTTCTGCCGGAAGCCTAGGTAATGACAATAGAAGAAGGAAGGTTCATTCTTTGCCAGCTTGCCCTCACCTCATCAGCACATCCATTCCTTCACTGGCATTGCAGCCTACTTCTTTGGGATTCCAGCATATTCAGAAGACCAGCTCAGACACCCAGATTCGTGGGACTGAGCAACTACTACATTCTTGGACTTTCAATTCACAGCTAGCTATGTTGGATTAGCTGGACTGCAGCCTATAAGTCATTCCAATAAAATTTCTCTATGTATTTAGAGAGAGAGAGAGAGGAGAGAGAGTCATTCTGTAAGTTCTGTGCCTTTAGAGAACTCTGACTAATACAACTGTTGCAAGCTGCCATGTGGGTGCTGGGAACAGAACTGTGCTCTCAGAGCAGGATTCAGTCTTAAGCACCGAGCCATCTCTTCAGCACCTAGAAATCTTCCCAGCTTAGACATATCCAAATATGTTACTATAAGCCATACTTGTATCTAATCCACTTATTTCATTGTTCATTTCAGAAGCTTAGATGTTGTGGAATATTATTTAACCAGGCAAAGATGTGTTATATTTGTTTCTGTTGCCTTTGCTAATGATGTAAAGTTGTGTTACATTTGTTTGTGCTGCATTTGTTTAATTTTGTAAAGATGTGTTGCATTTGTTTCACCTTGCCTGCCTAAAACACCTGATTGAGCTAATAAAAAGCTGAATGGCAAGGCGTTGGTGGTACAAGCCTTTAATCCCAGCACTCGGGAGGCAGAGGCAGGCAGATCTCTGTGAGTTCGAGACCAGCCTGGTCTCCAGAGCGAGTGCCAGGATAGGCTCCAAAGCTACACAGAGAAACCCTTTCTCAAAAAACAAAAACAAACAAACAAAAAAAAACCCTAAAAGCTGAATGGCCAATAGCTAGGCAGGAGAGGGATAGGTGGGGCTGACTGGCAAAGAGAATAAGTAGGAGAAATCTAGGAATGAGAGAAAAGGAGAGAATGAGGGAGAAAGAGAGGGAGACAACGGGGGCCAGGCAGCCAGCCAACCAGCCAGCTAGATGGAGTAGGACATACAAAAGGAAAGAAAGGTAAAAAGCCCCGAGGCAAAATGTAGATGAAGAGAAATAGGTTAAATTCTAAGAGCTAGCAAGAAAAGAGTATAAGGTCAAGAATTCATAGCTAATATTAAGTCTCCTTGTCATGATTTGGTGGACCAAAAGATATATATATATATTTGATTTTTCAAGACAGGGTTTCTCTGTGTAGCTTTGTAGCCTATCCTGGCACTCGCTCTGGAGACCAGGCTGCTCCTATATTTTATACCTCTCTGGTGCTGAGATTAAAGGCGTGTGATCCCAGGTGCTGAGATCACCTTTGTGTGAGCTGTTTCTTTTAGGACTGGATCAAGTTCGTGTAGTCAGTGTGGCCTTGAACTAAAAGAGATCCATCTACCTCTTAATCCTGAGTCTTGGGACTAAAGGTGTGTACCACCACTGCCTGGCCTCTATAGCTTGTGGCTGACTTTGCTTTCTGAATCTTCAGGGAAGCTTTAATAAATCATAAATAATGTATCACCACATGTCTGCTGTATTTGGAAGTGGCTTATACTACACTTGCTATTTACTCAGGTAATATTATATCCTTCTGGGGTCTTTGATGGCGTTGAAGAAAAGATAGTTACAGTTTTCCTTAGTTATGATAGAAGGTAAATGAAGTATAAAATTTGGACTCACCAAGATAGGATTAATAATGGAGTATTTTCTTTGAATTTGCTAAATGCAGGTGGACTGAATATTGTGAATATAATTCTTGCTTGATAATTGTTCCTTTTTTTTGGTTTTTGAGACAGGACTTAGGGTTTCTCTGTGTAGCTTTGGAGTCTATCCTGGCACTCGCTCTGGAGACCAGGCTGGCCTTGAACTCAGAGAGATCCACCTGCCTAAGCCTCCGGAGTGCTGGGATTAAAGGCATGTGTCACCAACGCCCAGCTTGATAATTGTTCTTTTGATTTTATTGTGTATAGTTTTACTTAGACTTAATTGGATTTTTGTTTTGCTTTTAAATTATTACTTCATTATTTATTTATTTTATGGGTGTGTTGCAGTACACACGTGGAGATCAGAGAACAACTTGCAGGAACAACTGGCAGCAAGTGTCCTTAGCTACTGGTGCTAATTTTTTTTAAGTATTCATTTTATTATTTTGAATTTTGTGTGTCTATCTGTGCATGGGCATATAAGTGGTAATGCCTGCAGAGATTGGCAGTGTTGGCTTCTCCTGGACCTGAGTTACCATTGGTTGTCAGCCATTTGACATGGGTGCTGGGAACTAAACCCAGGTCCTCTGAAAGTGTAACCAGTGCTCTTCATCACTGAGCCATCTCTCCAGCCCCATCTTAATTGGGTTACCTAGTTGGCTCCTTATAGCACACAGGCAAAACAACACAGTATAGTAGATGATACAGACTATTTTCTTTTATGATTACAGCATTTCCAGAAACAGTGTGACATGTCAAGACACTGATAAGGATCCCCAGAAAGGTTTTGGGGGCTGGGGATGTAGCTCAGAGGTAGTGTGCTTGCTTAGTAAGTAAGTGTAAGGCTCTGAATTTGAGCTCAGTAATGTAAGTTAAAAAGAAGCTAACAGTTGACTCTTCAACAACTTTATTGAAATATACTTCAGAGAGCAGGAAAACTGTACACTTTAGGCCAACCCCAACGACACAAAGAAGACGGTTTCTCAAAATAGTAAGTCTGGTTGGAACATTGGCCCTGTTGTCTATGGCTACCTTCACATCATAAGGTCAGAACGGAATGTTTCGGGGATATTTGATTGTACTGTAAAGCTCCAACACTGTGTTGATAAAATAAACCTTGAATCAGGGGGTGGAGCCAGTGACTACTTAACAAAAATTAGCCAGAGAGTACGGAGGATGCAGGGAGATGCATTGAGAGGCACAGGAAGTAGTGGGAGGGGGGACTTAAGAGATTCAAGGTCCTTTTTAGCCTGAGTCATGTGGAGAGACACAATTGCTGGGTCTCCGGTTTAAAAAAAAAAAAAAAAAAAAAGATAGTCAGCTGGTTGCTTCTCCTCTGCTTATTTGATCTATCAGATTTTCACCCCAATATCTAATTCCCAAGTCTTTATTGGTAATAGAACAATTCAGATAAAAACAACAGCTGAATGTCTTCTAGAGACCACATGCAGCAAGTCCTTAACAGATTTACTCTCTAGCTGCAGGGCAGATAGTCAATCTTTGCATGTCAGCTATAATTTTGATATTTACTTTGTATTACTAAATAACATGAGTGTGCAGATACATTCTTTATGCTCCCAATGTGGGCATTATCCATTAACCTCCCAATTATGACATACAAAAAAAAAATGCAGCTTCTTCCCAAGGCTTCAAGTGTGTGTGCACATTTGCACATAAAAAATACTTCCCATTCTTCCAACAATATGACATCATCATTTAAGTTAGAATACATGAATATCTATATACATTGCCAGGGTTACATCTGTTTTACAGAGTGTGTGATTTTTTTTTCTTTTTTTCTTTTTCTTTTCTTTTTGTTTTTTTTCCAAGACAGGGTTTCTCTGTGTAGCTCTGCTTGGCATCCTGGCACTTGCTCTGGAGAACAGGCTGGCCTCGAACTCACAGAGATCCGCCTGCCTCTGCCTCCCGAGTGCTGGGATTAAAGGCGTGTGCCACCAACGCCCGGCAGTGTGATCATTTTTCACTCTTATATGTCTTTTCAATTTTCTGGAGTTAATGTCAAGAGAAAACTAGACTAGCTGGATCACACAAAGATTACAGAGCAAGGACTGTTATGGGAAAGGAGGTTATTTCATAATAAAAATGGGGTCTACTAACTAAGAACATACAGCATTCTTAAAATATTGATATCTTGTTGGGTGGGGGGGTGGTACAAGCCTTTAATCCCAGCACTTGGGAGGCAAACAAATCTCTGAGTTTGAGGCCTGCCTGGTCTACACAGTGTTCCAGGATAGCCAGGGCTACACAGAGAAACCCTATTACAATTAATAACTAATACGTAGCCCGTGATGGTCAGGATATATATTTATTAGGTAGCCAACTGGCAGGCAAGCAGAACAAGCCAAAACAGCAGGGAAAAGAGCTACCATGTGCGTTCCCTAACCCTTTAAACCTTTCCCACATCACCCTGATCACCTTGATCACACCCTGATGGGCGTGGTTGAGAACACTGGTAGCCAGCCCTTAGGAGACGTGGTTATGTTGTCTCCCTACAATTCCCCTTTTAGTCTAAAAGAGGATTAAAACTTAACAGTGTAAAGTATCCAAAATTAACAATCATAAAGGTGAAACACAAGATCTACAACTGGGTTACGGGGAGTTGTGAGGCACCAACCCTGGTTCTCTGCTTTCTCTCTAGCTCCCAATAACTTATTTAAAAAATAAAACTTTTAAAATATTTTGTTTAAAGCTTGTTATGGTGGTGCAGACCTGAAATCCAACCGACAGGAAGCAAATGCAGAAGGATTCCAGCAAGTATAAGGCCAGACTGGTCTACATAGTGAGGGCCAATCCATTTGAACCTACATGTCAAGACCTTGTCTCAAGAACAAGGGGTTGGGAAGATGGCTCAGCAGTTAGGAGCACTGGGCATGACTGTGCATGACTGCCAGCCCAGAACTGCAGGAGAGCAAGAGGCTCAGAAATTCAAGTTCATTCTTGGCTACAAAGTCTCTCAAGTAATACCTTAGAAAATTATAAGCATATTAGTATGGCTAATACAAATGAAGGCTGGATCATAAATTGAATTATAAAATCTTCTCTACCCACAAGACAAAATAGTGCCTGGGAGTGGGTAGTAAGCAAAGAACACGAGGGAAATGGAAAACAAGTAATTGGTGTATTTATAATCATTTTCATGAAAATAGGTTAAACATTCCAATTAAAATGAGATTATCAAACAGGAAGACTCTGCTATATGTTATCAGCAAGAAGTCCAACATAAATATAAACATATCATAAATAGGTTAAAACAGGTTACAAGTAAAAAGTTTTAAAAAGGCATACTATGCTAACATTAATCAAAACAAAGCCATTTATACCAAAGCAGAGAAATGCCTCTTCTCTTTTGTAGTGTTGGTGTTCAAACCCAAGGCTTTGAGTAAGCTGGGTAAGCGTACCACGTTTGAAACATAAACCCAGACCTCAGGGTCACCCTAATGATACCATCCCACAAGTTCATACAACTTCCAAATATATGAGAGAAAAAAGAAAAGAGAAACAATTGTACAGACTTAACGGCCTTTCTATAACTGGTCTCTTAAACTGTTCTAGGACTAGTTTAGAATGGTGGATGCACAGGTGAAATGTGGCTTGTGTTTTTTTTTTTTTTTTTTTTTTTTTTTTTTTTTTTTTTTTAATGCGGTGGCAAACCTGCGATGGAGTACCATCCACTCAAGAGGCTAAGACAGGAGAATATTCTGTACTACATAGCAAGATGGTCTCAAACAAAGAAGTAAAAAAGTATCAGATATGACACTGTTCCCTACGCCTAGCGGCACCACCATTATTGGTAAATTAATTTCAGTTCTCCGAAAGGGCCTGCAACTCAAGCATTCCGAAAGCTGAGGCAGGAGAACCCTGAATTCTAGGGCAGTCGGGGTTATATAGCATGACCCTGCTTGAAGAAAATAACCGGTTCTCATCGGCGTACTACTGTTTTTCGTTTTCTAATTACCCAGAGCCAGGTACCCTGAACAGCTTAGAAGGAAAACAAACAGATCCGTAGGTAGCGGGTTGGAAGCTAATTAAATTCAGATTGCTGGCTCCACCCCCACCAGGGCAGGATTCAAAAGGCGCGCGGTGGGATTTGTGATTCTATCTCCGGCGACGCGGCTCGTCCCAGGATCGCGCGTCAAGAGCCAATTTTGTCGTCCCCTCCTAGCGTCGACTTCGAGAACACTTGTCGGATCCGAAACAAACCGCGGCGGTAGGACGCTGCCTCGCATTGTCGTGCAAACATCCCCAGGACGACATCCCTCCGCCAGGCGAGTTCCAGCCACCGGAAGTGTGCGTACCCGCGTCGGCGTCAGCGTCACGTCCGCGTCAGCCACGTCCAGCGGAGACGGGAACAAGATGGCGGTCCCGGGCAGGCAGTGAGTGATGCGGGAGTTAGGGTCAGGCCGGGGAGTGAGAAGCCAGGGAGCCCGAGTCTTTAGGCTGAGGCGTCAGAGGTCGCCGGAAGTGCAGGGCCGCTGCCGTCAGGGCTAGAGGCGGGAGAAGGCGAGGAGTCCCGAGCAACATAGATTCCCCACCCCCGCCCCGTACATTTTTCCAGGATGCAAGCCCGAAGTTTGAGAAACTTGTGAGGAAATAAAGGAAGTTAGGCTGAGGGGCAGAGAGCGAGACTTTTCTATTTTCCAAAAGCTCGGTCTGAGGCCCCTCAGTCTTGCTTCCTACCCCGCGCTTGAGTTTCTCCCGGTTGGATGCGCTCAGGGGCTCTGAGAAGAGAAACTCCTGGGTCCCTTAGAGGGCCTGGTTCTCCTTGGCAGACGCTCAAGGCCTGCTTCCCGCCCTCCCTCTGGTGTTAGGAGTGTGGTGCTGAGAAGCCACAGGAAAGGGTAGGCAAATAGGAAGTGGGGTTGTACGCTGCCATGAAAAGACAAACACTGTAAACGTGCTTGAGGTGATACCTTGGGTGTGTAAACCCATCCGATGCCACGTCCCGTGGCCTCTGCAGTTTTCAAAGCCAGAAACCTCGAGAAACGGTCTGAGTTGAATCTGATGAGGATTCTCAGAGGCGCTAAGACAAAGCAAGTGAGCTCAACCGACGGTGATGGGAGCAAACCCCGTGGTGACATGCTCACAGACAAAAGCAGTTGAGCCTAATAGAATGGGAACTTGCCCGGATTTACGCTTGGGTTTCTCAGTTAATTCTCTAAAAAGTTTAAGTGGGTTTCATTATTCTAAGAACTTAGGAACTGTGTAATTACACAGTAGTGGGAAAAGATCAGATGACAGTTTAGAACATTTTGACTTTTAGCAAATTGTGTGCCTGTTGAAATTACTGTCACGTCACTATTTAAAACATTCCTGTATTCTTCGTTTACTTCTCTTCCTTAGTAAAAATAATGTTTTAGTTTGGCTCCGGTAGACAGATAATAATTACAAAATCATGACACATTAGAATTTTGAGATCTTTGCAAAGCAGCAAGTCCGTTAAGTGTTCATAGGGTGTAATGATATGTTTTGATTTGGGAAGTTCAACAGAAGAGGTAGTGGGTGTGCTATGTTTTAACATTTAAAGATAATGGCATGATTTCTATTTCAAAAACAAATATGCAGGTATGGGCTTATTTTGCCAAAGAAAACACAGCCGTTGCACCGAGTTTTGCAAAAACCATCAGTATTTGGGAATGATTCTGATGATGATGATGAGGTAAGGAAAACTTACTTTGAACTCCTGTATTTAAAAACTGCTTGTGGATTTGTGTCTTCACCTTCGCTAGTTGTCAGTACAGTGGTTTTGGAGTGTTATTTACAGACCTTTCAAAAGGACTATTTAAAGAGAGCTCTGCTGTTACTTTCTGTATGACTTAAGATGCCACCCCCTCTACCCCATACAATTAGTTACTTTTAGATAGTTTTGTACACTTTTTCCAGACACTAATAGTGATGCTACAGATTTCCTGACATGTTTCTAGGAATGAGCTAGTTTCTTAGTTTCTAATGTGTTAACTGACCTAAGATGATGATTTCTTTGTGAAATAGTTTTTGTAGTTATTTCTTGAATTTCTTTGTGCATAAATGGTTTTTGTAGTTATTCCTTCAGTGCCTTTTAAATGTAATTACTTTGTTATAATCGAGCTATTGAATAGTTACTTTTGATAAAACTGTGTGTCTGATATGAACATTTTCTATTTTTTTGTTTTGTTTTGATTTTCAAGACAGGGTTTCTCTGTGAATCCCTGGAACTGGCTCTGTAGATCAGGCTGGCTTCCAACTCACAGAGATCCTCCTGCCTCTGCCTCCTGCATGGTGGGATTAAAGGTATGTGCGCCAGCCAGTGGGTCAAGTGTGTGCTTGTCTTAACATTAAAGTCATTTATGTTTCTTAAAGATTCTTGAATCAGATTAATCTGTCACCTTGTTTGCTTTGACAAAAAAAAAAGCTTCTCTTTTAGATTTTTCTAATTATATATTAGCACAAGTAGATATTTTTTATTCTTTGCTTTTTTCTTTTTGAAAAAAATGGTTGTATTTGCCTCATGGTTTTTAAAAATTAAAGTTAAATTTACATACAAAAGGTTCAGATTTTATTAGCACAGTTTGTTTTGTGTGTTTGTTTTGAAGCAAGAGCTCCATGTGTGACAGAGTAACTGGCCTGGAATTCAGTATGTAGCTAGACTGGCTGAAAACTCACCATCATCTTGCCATGACTTTCTCTCCAAGTCCTGGGAGTCAGGGAGTTGATTAGTTCTATAGCTGTGGGGGGAACATCGTAAATAGATAAAGCTCACTAACTTACATTGACTCAGCTTATAAGTTTGAACATTATGGTAATGCAAAAGCAGCACACAGTCAGTAAAAGCATACTTGGAATGTTGGTCTCCCTGAACTAGCTGTATAGTACTCTTGTGCACACTGGGCAGTTAGTGGACTAAAGATAACAGCCATGGGATCAAGAGGGTAAATAGCCCATCTACAATATAATGTGTAGCTAAGCTATTATGTTTGGGAGGCTAAGGTATATTAAATATATTTTGTTGGTGGTGTTTTGTTTTTGTTTTGAGACTGGGTCTCACTGTATAGTCTGGCTGACCTGGAACTTAATGTGTAGACCAAGCTGGCCTCAAAGCTCTGCCTGTCTCTACCCTGTTTCCTGAGTGCTGGGTTTAAAGGCATATATTACAACACCCAGCAATAGTAAATGGTTTGTTTTCCTTAGGATATCAAGGCTTTTCGGGATTTAACCCCATTATAAATTGAAAGCCATCTGCATAGTGTTTTCATTCAGTTTAAAGTTAAGTGACAAAGACACATGTAAACACACTGAAGCAGATTGAAATTAAATTAGTAAGGATTCCTGTATACCTACTATCCTTTGATAGTCAAAATTACCCTGTGATATGTGTCTTATTTTCATCTTACAGATGAAGTTGAAATTCAAATAGGTTACGAAATTTTTCCATTACTAGTCCATAGAACTAATAAGTAAATGGCAAGATTAAGATTTGAATACAGGAGACAGCTAGAAGGTTTAGTCCATAAAGGCATGTAATGCCAACCCTGACACCTGAGCTCAGTTTCCAGGACCCACATGGTGGAGGGAGAGGACTGACTCTATTTGTCCTCTGATCTCTGTGTGCCATGATACCTGTGTGCCCCCCTCCCCCTACCCCACACACGTAAATAAATGTAATAATAAGATTTGAACACGAGTCTATCAGATTCTCAAACCTACATTTCCTTTTTTTTTTTTTTTCTTTCTTGCTCTGTTTGAATAATAGGGCTTTAAATGTTAGTGAAATATAGGCGACAAAAACCATCCATTGTGCTAAAGGAACACCAGGCAGGAATAGGCATTTAAGCAGCCTCTAAAGCTAGTTTAGATTTGAGTTTAAAAGAAAAAAGGTAAAGGTGGTGATCAAATCAGTTGAGAGAGAACAAAGAACATAATTATAAGGCATTTTTGTAGAGTAAGTGTTTAGATAAGAGAATGTTTAGAGAAGGAAAAAAATGTTGCAATGAGATTTTAGCAGGTTGAGGCCAGATTGTGGGATATCTTGCACTGTTTGTACAAAATGTCAACTTTACAATTCTAAGTAGTTTTTGAGTACTGTGTTTAGTTTACATAGTGATGCCATCCCATTTTTATCTTGTGTTTATCTTGAGAAGATAGCTCTTGAATTGTGAAGCACAGAAGGGGAAAAAATCTGAGGTTGGAGAGTCAAGAGTTTGAGGCCAGCCTGGGCTGTAGGTCCAAGAAGACCTTGTCTCAGAAGAAATGGGAGTGGGGAGGAGAGAAGAGATTCCCGTTTGTGGAGGTGACCTCTGGTCAGTTCTCCTGAGCACTGAGATTACAGATGCACAACCCCATACCCCCACTGTTTTATTAGCTCCAGGGATCAAGTTTAGGTTGTCATACTGTGTGGCAAGTACTTTTACCTGACAGGCCATCTCATTGACTTGGTTTTGCCCTTTTAAGAAAATACTAAGATACCATCTACATGCCATATACTTGTGTCTTATGCCCCCACCCCCACCCCCAGCGCTGAGGATCAAACCCAGGGCCTTGAGCTTGCTAAGCAAGCACTCTGTGAGCACTGAGCTAAATCCCCAACCCCTTCTGTTTTTATTTTTAAATTTCATTTATTTATTTATTTTGTTTGTGTATGCTCATATGTATGTCTGTGTGATTGTGTGGCCCATGTTCTTGTGTGGAGGTCAGAGGGCAACTTGTAGGAAAGGGGTCTCATCCCAGAGCCCACTTCACCTTTTTACATTGTATAGCTCATTTTAAGAGTTGTACAACCATCACTAATTTTTTTTAATAAAGATTATTTATTTATTTATTATGTATTATACATTCTGCTTCCATGTATATCTGCACACCAGAAGAGGGCACCAGATCTCATAATGGATGGTTGTGAGCCACCATGTGGTTGCTGGGAATTGAACTCTGGACCTCTGGAAGAGCAGTCGGTGGTCTTAACCTCTGAGCCATCTCTCCAGCCCGGTTGCTGGAAATTATATTAACAATTGTGGCATTATCAGAGTAGTGGCACCACTCTGCTTTCCCGTTGGTGTTATGTAGCAGTCCTAACACTCCTACATCCCCCCAACACAGTTATGAGATTAAAGGTTGTGCTACCTC